GATTTAGTACTATACAAATACCTAATCAGTGTCCCAGAAAATCCTGATCACGGAAATACTAAAAGTACTGAAACCAAATCGACCATACATCATCAGAGATTATCTTGCTTCCACAAAGCTCATAAACCGTCGCTCGACTGCGATATCACAAAACATTAACACCAACTCAGTATGAGTCCCTTTTTGTCTGTTTCTTATCAGTTTCGTCCTTTCACGAGCATTTTAATGACTAACCATTAATTTTATCTCATTACTCACGTATCCGCTTACTTACGTGCCCTTTCTACCCCTTGTGGACCACCAACCAGAATTCTCTATTTAACTGTCCTCGACAATCTTTTCCAGTTCTTCACAATTCCTATTCATTCTTCTGATGCTTCATTACCGACGGAAAGTGTTCCATAGTCTTCCACTTTTTCTTTTCAAATCGGCACTGCAAGTTGGCGCTTGCCTCGTGATGTTGTTTGTGATGTACACAATGTATGTGCTATCCACCACCAACACCTTTTCTCACTCTTCTCTTCAGATGGAAGCTAGTTTGTCCTCTGTCACAGTAGGCTATTTCTGGTGGTATCCGGTCAACGGACAGTGAATACCTTTCGTAGAAAACCGCCTATAACTACTTGTACTTTTTTGATGGTGGTTTTGGCCATTCTGGAAGTTTCAGACCCGTACAGTATAAATAACTGCCTTGACATTCGTACTGAAGATTCTGACTTTGATGTTGGCTTGTAGACGTATTTCGGTTCATGTTTTTCAATTGTAGGAGTGCGGTCCTTGGTTTGCTAATACTCACATGTATGTCTGTATTTGATCCTCCTTGTTCATCGCCGATGCCGTCCAAGTACATGAAAGTCGACACGTCTCCCAGAACTTCTCCATCAAGTGTGACTGGGTTGGTATTCTCTATGTTGTTGTTGAGGGTCTTACTTTTCCTTCGTGTATGTTGAGGCTTGCTGTTACAGTGGCTGCCGCTACCCTGGCTATGTTCACTTTCATTTATTGCTATTTATGGGATAAAAGGACTGGGCTATCTACGAAGTCCGAGCTGTTCACTTTATTCTTTGCTTTTCCTCAGATGTTGACCAGCAGAAGAAAGAGGAAGGGGGAAATTATGCAGCCTTGTCTGAATCTGGTCCTCAGTTGTAATGAATCTCATTTGCTACCCATGCACGACTTTGCATTATAGTCCGTCGTATGAATCCCGTATGATGTTGACGATCTTCTCAGGTACACCATAATGTCGAGGAAGATTCCATGAAATTTTTCTATCCATACTGTCAAATACTTTCTCATAATCAAGGACATTGATGTATAGTGACGATTTCCATTCAAACGATTGTTCAACAGTGATCGTTGTGTTACAACTTGGTCTGTGGACGGTCAGTCCTTACAGAATCCGTCTGTTGATCTCGAAGTTGAACGTACACTGAATCTTCCATCCGGTTCAGCGACACTCTGTTGAAACCATTTCTTGGTACCAATAGTAGTGTAATGTCTCTGTAGCTCAGTTCTCACATTTGCTCACATCTTTATTCGATATCTTGATGAGATATCCTTCATTCCAGTTAGTCAGTAGCACTTGTTTGTCCTTAGAAACCTTCCTAAATAGAACATGGAACATGTTTTCAGTTGTTTCTATCTGACTTTAGCGTTTCAGCTGATATATTGTCAGGTCATGCTGCTTTTCCACAGTTGGTTTGTTTGATGGTCATCCTGACTCATTCAGTCGTTGGTGGAGTGACATCCAGGTTCTTCAAGGTGTAACGCCTACCTGTTCCTACGTTTTTGGATCTCAGTGATCAACTTGTCATCCTTGTTCTTGAACGGTTTCTCTGGTTTACTACACTTCCCTGTAAGTTTCTTTGTCATTTTATATATCTATTTCATATTTCCTTCTCTTACAACTTTCTCTGTTGTCGTCACGAGGTCTTCCACATATTTCTGCCTGTCAGCTACAACGCTTTTCTTCACTTGATTGTTTGCTTCTGTGTGTTCAGCTTGTGACTTAATTTTCTGTGTTCATGTTCAGCAGTTGCTAATTGCTGCCTTCTGGCTTTTATTTTCTTGAATCCGGTCCAGGGTTTCTATAGAGATCCATTTCTGATGATGATGCGTCTCTATGCCCAGCACTTCCTGACACGTTGTAGTTAGTGCTTATTTGATTCATTTTCACTTGTCCTCCATACTAGTTTTCTCTTTGAGTAGATCTTGTGAGGCTCGGAACTCGTTAAGAGATATGTTGAATTGGTTGAGTTTGTCATTATGTGGAAGGAAGGTTGTATTGAACCTTTGTAATGATATGTTTCTAGTTGTCCAATGTCTTCATAGCTTCAGTTTCAACTTTTCCACAACCAAGTGGTGATCTGAAGATCTGTCAGCTCCTCTTCTTGTTCTTATGTCTTCCATCGTCCTTCCGAACCTTTTACTGATGCAAATCTGATCTATCTAGTTCTTCGTTTGCAATCCGGCGAGACCCATGTGGCTTTGTGTATGCGTTTGTGGGGTGATATTTTGCCTCATATAACCACTTCGTTGAATGCATATTGATTTGCAAATCTGTCATCTTCTTCCTTCCTTCCTCCCAGTCTATCCGTGTCGTCCCATGATATCTTCAAAACCATTATTGTCCATTCCGACTTTGGCTTTTAGTTCTCCCATTAGGATGGCTTTGCTATCCTACCAAGATAACTTATAACACGCTAACTCAGGCTTTTATGTCATGTCATATCGGCTGGCATTTTATGAAAAAAAGAATAGCGAAGAGAAAATGATTGATAGTAAGGGACAAATTTATTAGCACTTCCAAACACTTCACTGTCTTTTGACATACTTTCGACTTTAATGGACAACTTCGATTTTAGCCTCAAATTTCCGTCCATTATTCAAACCCATTGTACTTCTTTGCACGTCACAACTCATCATTCTTGGTCATTGTATTGTTTTACCTGAAGACAATTTAGCTAAATATTACCCTGATAATACCGGCTAGCATGAGTTTTATAGTCAGATTTACCATGTCTTTATCTGTTCCACTACTAACGGTTTATTATCTAAATGCCTTGCTGCTCCTTTATCTTTCATTTTTTCAGCCTCACATTTTCAGTGGAAATTCATGGAGGTTCTTCTTACAGCTGAAACACACACGTAGCGTGAGTAATTCCATTATTGACTGATGAGGATGAAGAATGGTTTTAGGATACACTGGGTTCGGTAGAATAAGTAAGTTCAGTCAACAATTATTGTATGACAAAATGATATAAAGCTGAATAAGGAAGGAGACGATGGTTGGATAGGAAGACATACTCAGCAGTATGTGGCGAAACAATGTTTCTGAGCTAGCTTCTAGAGCTGTAGAGACGTCTCACATAAGACCGTGGTCCGATTTGGTGGTGATGTTTGACCCGACGACTTTGGTTAGTAGGTATCTATTCAAATTAATTACGCCAGCATCAACTACAAGTGCTTGCACAGTCACTCAATTTAACGGACAATTTACGAAGTTATGACGAGCGAAACGAAAGGTAGTAAGCTTAAAACTTTACAAGTAGAGAATCCCCATATAAACAGATATATATTTGGGTATGAAGTGACTTCTTGTCCTTCAAGAATAAAAATGCCTTAAAGTGCACGAATCGACTAAAAAGTTCTCAAGAGCGTGCACTAATACGAAAGCATCACTAGCTATAAGTTTAGTTTAACGCAAACTATAAAAGGGACATCCAGTAACCAGAAAGTGAATAAACCCAGTGGAGTCAAAGACGTAGTTTTCACTGTCAAATAATTCTTATTATTTGGTACTTACTGATTGACAAGAATTCTGAAGTAACATAAGTAAAGCCGTGGCCTATCTTCGAGACTAGATAAATCATCATGCACCTGGTGACAGTAACTTTCCAAAATTTGTATCTGTGATTTGTTCATTTTCGTCTCTGTGGACGAAACACCAAAATGTTATTCTCAAATGCGGAACCCTGTCAACCGAAGAGCTTTTGAGTCCCGTTCAGTGCCATGCAAAACGATTAACTAAGATTAATTTGAAATAAACAACGGTTAAACACCTACTGATTCGAACCGTAATTAGTACTAACCACTGGTTATTTAGTTCAATCGAAAGCAGTAATACAAGGACAAAAAGGTTGAGGGAAATACATTGATTTTCATTGGTTCCTTATAAAGACATAGTGTATTGGAAGCAAGAAAAACTACCATTCATGAAACTCATGGAACTGTTTCCAATCCATTTTAAAGACATGGGCAGGATCACACCTTGATGTTCACAGTGTCATCGCACTCCCTCTGTTCAAAAGATACATGAATCGCTCTGACCAAGTACAGAGACGAACAACTAAGTGACAGGAATAACGAGTAAATTTGACGAAAACATATTCCAATACCCGAAGTTGTTCTCGCCGAGCCATGGAGAACAGGACGTAATCTGTCAATGACATACAGTATGTTGAGTACATCAAGTCTCACCGACACAAACATCTCATCGAGACATCACTATCTCATTCCTCGACTCAACTCTCGAAGTTACACATTAAAGAGTGAAAACCCAGGTATGCCCCACTCTTTGCCACCAATAGTTGTCCTCGTATGGAACGCTCTGCCGACCGATGTGACCACAAGCCCCTCAGAAAACAATTTTAAGGAGACTTGACAAACACGTACTCATTCATGGATTACCGTCTCTCCCTCGAACTAGCTGTGCCTAATACATATCTTAAGACAATCATTCTATCCTGGAACCAATTTTACACGAACAAATGCCGGGAACCGTACAGAGACAACGAGAAGCAAGGACAAAGAAATCAATCTATTATACGAGTTCGTCCTAAGGGTATGGGATATTGGATAGCCCTTGAAGTTTTTTCGGTAGGAGAATATAAAAATATTGTACGATGGATGATCTGAACTGTTCACTGTTGTTTCGATTAGTGACAACTTTACGACCTATTTTCAATACAGCTTTTGAAAAAATTGATCTTACTTTTAATGCACTTATTTTTATGACCTAGTGCCGTACGCCATTATTGTTCATTTGTTGGTGGGCGAGGTTGTTGTCAAAATGGGAAAGCATAAGTTCAAGACGCGTTGTTATTTAGATATAAAGATTGATTCGCAGCCAGGTATATTTTGTTTTTTGAAATCGACTAATATTATGCAGTTGGTCGTATAGTTTTCGAATTGTTCAATGATATCTGCCCAAAAGCTGCTGAGAATTTTAAAAAGTTGTGTCAAGGTACTCTTTAGTATCACTTCCCGATCGGTTTAGGTGTTTGTGGCCTAGGTCTGAAGACAGGGAAGCCATTAACCTACCAAGGAAGCGTCTTCCATCGAGTTATAAAGGGTTTTATGGTACAAGGTGGTGATTTCAGTAATAAGGATGGAACTGGGGGTGAATCAATATACGGTGGCACTTTTGCTGGTAAGAGTACGCTTGGGAAGCTTTGATTTTTTTAAGATGAATGCCTTACAACCGAACATGACCGGCCGTTTTTGCTTTCTATGGCAAACAGAGGGCCTAACACTAATGGCTCTCAATTCTTCATGTAAGGCTAAACAATCACTACTAAGTAGTTTTAGTACGACTGCTCCTGCTCCCCACCTAAATGGAAAACATGTGGTGTTCGGACACGTTATATCAGGAGAGGATGTTGTCAGGAAGATCGAAGCTGTTCCAATATCTGACACTAAAGCCCATCGCCCAGTAAAGTCGATTGTGATTGAGTCTTGCGGTGAACTTATTCCTGGTAAGTCCCCAAAGTTTGTGACGAAAACATGTAGTTAAGAAAAGTAAGGTAATAGGCGAGGAGAAGAAGTCGAAAAAAGCCAAGAAGGCAAAGAAGAAGAAACGGAAATTAAGTGAAGGTGAGGAGTTTTCTGATAGGTAAAAGGATTTTCGTAAAAAAACATTCTTCAGTGAAAGTGGCATGGATAACGAATGCAGTGTCCGCAAAGAAGAAATACCGGAAGTACCGCCACCGAAATTTCTGTATCGTGGAAACTACGAAGAGGATCAGCTAGAACTTCAAAAGAAAGTGAATCTTAGTCCAAGGTATTGGTCATAAATTCTCATTTTTATTTTTAAAGTTAGTGCTAAATGTGACGATAGAGAGTAGATTACTTAACATATTGGGTTACGACTAGCTAATTGTTACAGCTGACTTAGATGTTTTATGCACTTGTGCCTTTTAGGCTATTCAGTCAGCGATCTGAATCGAAAATTTATGTAGTGGAAATCAACTTTATTCTGTGAAGTCAAGGTACGTTTCCTAAATCATCGATCAAGAAACAGATTTAAAGACGACAGTGTGTTTGCATGTTGATTTTTGATGGTTACTTTTTGTGATGTGTAGTCTACTCCATTTCTATCATCTCTGACGAGTCTTCTTTTGTCCGAAATTTTGCCATAAGTCCCCCTACCGATATGTAATCTTCAAATACTGCCCCCAAAAATCAAGTGCCACAACGGTTTTAGGATCTTGACGACCTTCGTTTCAGGCAATGTAGTGCTCACGTCATTTGACAATGTTTAGGGTATTCTGTGTATCCCTAGTATTTTATATTTCTGTCATGAGTAGACAGGTCATGGGCCTGTGTTCATATTGCTTTTGTTTTTGTTAATATTTCACAAACGCGCCTTCCTCTAGACATAACATAGTTGTAGTATTAACCCTATTCATTGTTTTTGCGACTTAAGTCTAATGCTTTGTATTACTTTTGATCAACAGTATTTCAGCACGCATCAGTAATTACTCAGTTGAATCCAGGTGGGTCTCCTGTTACTATTGTATTTCCATACTGATTATATTTCACTGTTTTTACTCAGTAGTAGAAGTGGCCACTATCCATCCCTTCACAATTCATAGTCATAGATAATAGCTTGTGAGCCACTTGAGTACCGAAGCAATTTTGTTAGCCACTCCGTACGCCTAAATGGTTGTAGATAGTACCATAATGTTCTCATTGAAACACGTTTAAACAAAAGTTGTACTTTTGCTTGTGCAGTTGATTTCAGTAACAACCTTACATCTAGACATACTTTTGAGGTTTTGAACTGAATTTTGATGCATATGGTGTCTTAGTTTTTTGTTCGTCCATTTAGCTCGCACACAAATCACATCTCCAATACTAGTACACAAGTCTGTACACAGTAAATAGGTTTTCATACTCCTTCAGTAATTTTGATTTGCCAAAATAAGTAAACTATATGTTTTCACATTGTTGGTCAGTGTATAAGGTTATTTGATGTAGATACTATCCAACATCACAACTAAAAAATGTTCTATTTTTCAGACACGATATAGACAGCCGTGAAAGTGCTCGTAGTCGGTACCAAGAGGATCGTTCAGGTCGAGTAATCAAAGGGCGCGGACGAATCGTAAGTTGTACTCGCTGTTTGCACCTTAAACTTGGATGTTCATTGGGTAATTAAATCTAATATTAGGTAGTGGTTGGTATTCTTCAGGAACCTTCGGGTCTGGGTTTCGTGTTAATTAGTACTCGTTAACATAGTGTCATATAGTTTCACAATCAGGAGAGTTATTACTAAGCTATTCGGGTTTAGGACTTCGTAATAATTTCTATTCATCTACCCAGCACCAAAACATTCCACGCAATATTGAATCACTTAGACTAGTGGCTACATTGCGACTCAATCGAAGTTATTTTGCTAATACTAAATATGAAATTAGTTATTACTGTGAACAGTCAATGTGCCGAATCCATTTTTTATCATGTAGTTGAGTGCTAAATTTTTAACCATTGAACTATGGAGGATCGCTTCACTTATTAATGTTTATAGTGCTTTACCTCAGTGAACTAGATACTACTTCAGGTCAATGGGCTACAGAATAAAAGTTGACTCCACCTTCAGCAGAAGTGTTTTAAATCGTACTACATATATTAGGTTATGGCACCGAGATTTCGGCAACTAAGCAGCATAATAAGGTCATAAAATGGAGTCTGCAGTTATTTAATAAAACTGAAACATGGATAGATGCACGTTTATGCCAAATTCTGTGTCACATGACTGATTAGCTGAGGTTGTACGTAATTAATAGATGAGACCAACGTATTTTACAGTCCACGTTATGCTAGTTTTTTTTTTCGAAAATACTCTTAAACCGAGTTTGTATTTAGCGACAAAGCTAAGGATATTCTGAGACTTCGTTAGACGGGTTATGGTTTAATAAAGATGATGGCTAACACTTCATCCGAATCAGGAGTAAATATATGGAGATACTTATCGCTAGTTTTTTTACATCAAGTCATATCTGTTTCGTCAGACTGCCATGACAATGTTTCTGTTGACCTAATTAATGTTACTAAAAGTTAATCCTTATAAGGCACTAATTAAATTACATCACAATCCCAGCACTATCCTTTTGTCTTGTGTCCTCGCAGAGACCTATTGGTCACGTACTCAGGCTGTAATGTTTATATAACTGCATTTTTTAGTCTCGATAAGTACTCAGTGATTAGTTGTTTTGTTTTTAATACGTTTTCCTTAATTGTGATATGTATAACATTTATTTTAGTGTTACCAGAGCCCAAATTCTCGTTCAGGAAGTCCTGGACGCAGCACCACCCCACCCCACTGGCGCCAAGCAAGTTCTCATACCCAGAGATTAGACCAAGATGAATGGAAACAATGGAATGAACGAAGAAATCACGAACAAATAAACAACTTACAGTATGTGCATTAGTACTTCATGCTTTTTAAAATAGTAGGTCTACTAGTGTATACTCTTAATAACAGCAGGTGTTAGAAATAAGCCTCGTGTATTCAAATCTTTGACAAACAAAACCAATAGACTGCGACCATTCAAAATAAGTTCAACTTTCCATTAGAATCTGGATTTCGTTAAAATCGCGAACTGATTTAAATCAAACAATCTCCGTAACCCATACTTAGAATCTGAGTTGTTTGGTCACTGTTATTGGAAACTCGAGATGGAATCAGGTCAGATGCATATTTGATCTGAATGAAATCATAGCTTCCCAATAAATTGTCCCCATTTTCTGTAGCGCGATTATGTGTCGTTTTAGTATGAAATTCATTTATCCCATTTTCATTTCAGGAGAAGGGTATCGTCATCCCGTTCATCACGTGGAAGTAGGCAGGATCCGCTGTCTCCATCCATAGCTGCTAGTCGTAATAGAAACCCAAGTGCTTCGCCATCATCTGTTGTTATAGCCAATACTGGTGTTTCTGGTAGTTTAAGAGATATTGATTCTTCCGAGAAAGAATTTTCAATGGACCAACGAGATGATCATAAACAACGTTCTCCCAGTCATTCACCATCACTAGATCAGTAGGTTTTTTTGACATTTCCTGACTTCGGTTTGAGTACACTGCCTATTTTTATTCTTGAGTTCGATTTCTCAGCTAGTAACATTTAACACAGCTTTGTCAAATATAGAGTTCTATGTTTGGTTACTTCGTTAAGATCCTGATAACGGTTTTTTAGTGTTAAAACCCTTCATGCTTCCGTAGATTGTAGAAAACATGGTGATCTGTTTCATTCTAGCAGTTATTACTGTCAAATATCTGTATTTTTGCCTTACATTTATTGCTTACCATTTAGAGAAATCCTGCATTTTCTGTTGAGCACTTGCAGATATCTTTTTTAAAGCAATGTACATTATGTTATGACGGAAATTCTTCAATAAGTGCACTTACACTAGTTTTGTCAATATACTTGGTTGTGTTCTTATTAACAGGTATGAGTAAGTCACACTATACAGTTAAGACGTGTAAAAAGTATCTTTTTCAGATATCCATCTTCATGCAGTTTGATTTCCCTAAGCATTATCCGTTTTCTGATGTTTTCATATTTTATGATGCTTTTTATTACTACACATCAACCTACCAAGTATCTTAATGATGTATAAATTTTTACTCAGTGTTGTTTAAGCATAAAAATTTCATTGATGTTCGGTTTTTTTGATTAGTTTGAAATCCCGTATTAACATTCTAACTATGTATTCTGTTGCAGTTTGGAACAATCCCTTCTGCTCAACTGAAATTCGTTAACGTATGAAGTAGTTAATGCACTCGATTTATGCGAGGATAGTTTGCCACCTGGTCATTATTCCTTGGTTTTATAGGGAATTCTGTCCTAAGTTGTCTAGAAGTTAGTGATAGTCAACAACTACGATTGCTTTTCAGAAATGTTTCATCATTTTTTAAATGTTCGTTTTGCATATATTTTAGTCGAGTATTAGTAAATGATTCCAAGGTAGTGGAAAATGGTTCCTCACCAACACAGAATAATCTGTCACCGGTCTCAATTGGACCGAAAAAGCTTTATACCGAGTTCGAGGGTAAACCCGATGATCCGAGTGACAGGCGTTATGTTAGATCTCCCGAAAATATACGTCAGACGTCAGTGTCTGAGGATTTATTTGGTAAAGACCGGCGTGCAAACCAACGTTTATCAGAAATAGACGATGAATATATGGTAGATATCGATGAAGATGCTAAGTTTAAAACTCTTCCGACCACTACTCATGAACAGTCTCCAAAACTCTCTAAATTTTCAGAATATTCGACCATTAAGGTAAGCACTTATTTAATTGTTAAACGTTTCCACAGTGTTATACCTTTACCTAACTACAACTATCCAAGCTATTTGTGAATTTCCTTTTGCACGTAGCTAGTTATGTAAAGGCTTAATTTTCTGTAGGGATTTTACTATTAGTTAATTACTATTTATGATCGGATTTATTCCTAAAATATGTATTGTTTTCTCTTTTATGCTTGTCAATCTAGCACTATCATATCCCAGTGTAAGCAAATAATAAACACTGAAGAGCAATTATGGTGTCATAATGTTAATATTAAACTTTTGGATATATTCATTATTTTGCAGTGTAATATCTTTTTTTGAAAATTGTTTTAATTGGATTATTTTCTGTTTTATCAGTCAAATGACGTATCCAAGAGAGACTTAGGTGACTCGCCCAAAGTGTATCATACCAATCAGTCCCCTAGGAAGTGTTCTGGATCTCCAAATTTAAAATCCCCACAACAGATACTTATCTCCCCAGTTAATTCATGTGCTTCTGGTCAACAGCAAAAATACCAATCAAAATCCCCTGTTCTTATGCTTTCACCGAAGCTTCCTACATCTTTTGAAAATCAAGCTCCTATTGACCAACCTATTATAATTTCACCATCTCGTATCCCTTACCCATCCCCCCTGTCAGGTTCCGGTTCCAATAATCGGATGCCATCACCACCCTGTGAGAATGCCCGCATATCTTCACCTCCGGATCTCTCAAATCGAAACCAAGTGAGGAGTAAACTGATTATAAATAAATTACGGTTTTCGCCGATTTATATCCATTTTAATTTAGTTAGTCATTGATAATTTCTAGGTTTTATTAAGTTATGACAAGTATCTGCAACCGGTTTTTTCGCAGTCGCACTGTGTTTGAAATAAGATTTTAAATAGGATTACTCATCTACCACACCTAAATGAACACTTGTTTCTGGCTGATACCATCCAGTACTCATAATTTGGTTCCAAAATTATTTACCTATCTATTCAGAGAAGAGTATAAACTACTAATGGGTTTTGCATAATGGCTGCAATACATGACCCCTACCAATAAAAAAACATGAAAAATTGCTATTATTTGAATGAAAATATGCTTATACTACAATATTATTATTATTATTATTATTATTATTATTACTATTATTATTATTATTATTATTATTATTATTATTATTATTATATAGTATCGCCTACGTTTACAATACAAGGTTTCATGTAAGAAAGTTGAATGTAGACACTTCATTCGAATGTTCTGTTACAGGTTCATGGCCATTCCACTTCATTTTTTGTTTTCAGGTTTCTCATGAACTTTCTAGAATACCAACACCATCACAACCAGATAACAAAGAACAGGGTAAAGTGTTTTCAGAAGAAACAGATCTACATAAACTGGAGGAGATTCCGTCACCTGAAAAACCTAGGAAACAACCCTCACCCTCACATTCAGACAGACAATTAAAGGTGACTCGTGGCTCCCGTTCTGCTTCCCGAAGTTCTACGTTAGGTTCTAGATCAAATTCTAGTTGTGAATCTGACAGCTCTAGGTCTTGTTCTCGTTCACACTCCCAAACAAGCCCCAAAAAACGACGCCGACGAACCCCTCGTAGTCCTCCACCTCATCTTGTTGAGAAGTACGTGCTATTTTTGCTTCATATTGGTTTATTGCTCGTTAATTCCAAAGTTTTAAGACTATTCTAATTTGTTTTGCTCGATGTATAAATTCGCGTGGTGATTTGCGGTTCTATTACCATATAGCAATCGTTCAGACAACACGCTACATCAAAGGCTCACAATCTTTAGTGTCCTGATGCTAACAGTTAACAAGCCTTGTTTTATTGTCTGGTGTGATTAATGTTAATTTTACATAAATGTTTATTTAGGTGGAAAATGCGTCGTGAAATGCTAAACCAGAAGCGCCGCGTTGTACCACCGTCTGTAGCAGCTTATGCGCCGTCTGGATCATCGGAAGATCGTCTTCGTGGCATTGAAAGACGTCATTTATCGGGAAGAAGTACCCACATACATTCTCGATCACCATCACGTTCCATCCCAAGCCGTCGACGAAGTCGATCCTCAAGTTCACGCTCTAAATCAGGCTCATACACACATAGCCGTACGAAGTTAAATGTTAGACGTGGTTCTCCTGAAGCAGAAAGTCTTCGCAGTCGAAAAAGAAGTCCAAGTCGCGACAGAAAGATATCGCGTTCAAGATCACATAGCCGCTCGCCTCCAAAAAGTTTTGGGTTGAAGCACAGAGGCACTTCACCAAGTAAACCTATCATAGTAATAACTAAGAAAAGTCAGACTACACAGTAAGTTTTATTTTCCCTATCAGTTTCGAAAGTGTTCCATAATTATGTAATTTTACCTTGAAGATTTTAAGAAAAGTCGACGTCAATAATGTGAAACTGTGTCGACCAGTGCTACCAGATTGGTAAAATCCAAGCTGATTCAGAACTCAGTTATTATACTTTTAATGAAGTTATCATGACAAATGCATTAGAAAGGTTTAGGAAACTACAAACTCAATGTTAACTTAGATGGTGCAGCTCTTCATAGCGTACTAGCATCGTCGGCTATTTCATATTTGCTCAGAGTCTCAGTCTCTCTACCTTGCAAGTGACTTAAGTATACTTATTCTAAGACCTCAAATCATTGACTTTCAGTGGTTCGGACGTTTTGCCATTATGAAGACCCAACTATGCTTTAAAATTTCACCAATTGCAATATACTCTCATCTAAATAGTTCTCAATGTAATTCTTCTAAAGATCATTGCGCTAACCAGAATTTCTGAAAAACGGACCAGCTATTTAATTGACTGCCTGGAAATTGTTTATCATTCAAGTAGACAAACTTTTATTTCATTGCCTTGTAAAACGTAAATTCTATTTTGGGGTAAAGCAACTTTCAAAAGATCACTCAAGCAAGAATTCGAAACTCTCAGCCGAGTACCACGAATGAAAATGTTTACAGAACTATTAGTCCTTTGATTCTTGGTATTACTCTCTTTCTATTTCTTAGTAGTCAAGACTCTCATAGGTGTATATTTGTCAGTAAACTGATTCCACATTGATTAGTGCAATAGAACAGTAAACTAAACTACATGTCCTGCAAGGATTACAAATGATGACTGAATCCATCTATTTCTAGCGGACTCAAACGAACCATCATAATTTTTAAGAGAATACAAAAGCACTAATTCTCGCTGCCTCAAACAGTAGTGAAGTTAAACAGTGCGTTATTTCATATTGGATAGTCTGTTACATACATACACTCATTTGAGGCGTAAAACGTAGTCACAGTTGTAACAAAACTTTTAGTCCACTTTACTGCAAAATGTAATACCATAAAATGATAAAAGCTACAAATATATTACGCTTTTCCTATTCATTTATGTTTTTAGCATGTTTTCGATCTGACTCTTGTTTCTATTACAGCACCAAAGTTTTCATGGTAAAGCATGTAAATAGTTGCATTCAAATAAACGTTTGCCACTATATCACAAGATTATATATAAATGATAGCGTTTCTTCCGTTTTTTTCCCACAGAAAACCCACGAAAATTGTTACAGAAGATCCATCCACTGAAGTAAGCTACATTTCCGGGGATTTCTCTTAAAAAATGTAATTGTCTTTTACTGCAGAGTAATTGTTAAACGTTGGAAATGATTTTAAATCGACACATTTTTAGGGGAAATTGTCTCATCGAATTATGCAACCTATCCAGACTTTCTCTGCAAAATATTTCATTTCATAGGACTCATGCTTCCGTGAATCTTATTTGGGTTCAGAATTTCTGAATTTGTAAGCTGCACTTTGATCATCCATCTCTTAGTAGGATATGGAGATATGTCAAAAAATTATCTCAGGATCACAATGGAACGTTATTAATCTGGGCTTTTATAAATAGTGTTATATGATTCCATGTACAATCAGTTTCAGCACAATTTAAAATACCATCTGACTATACAGATACTGATTCCAGTGAAACTACGTTACTTCATGTGTATTAAATTTCTCAGGTACTCAAAAAACATCCAAAATATTTACATTTTTTAGGATTTAATTGAACAACTGAGCACAAGTTAACAGTTTTACTTATTTATATTTTCGTTCTTAAGAATGCTGTTACAACCAGTAAGTGGGAGAATTCTCCTCAAATCCTAGAGAAAAATACAAATCAACATCTAGGTCCATGGACTAACAAACATTGGGAAACAGGCGATAAGGTTGAACTTGATGAGTCTGTAAAAAAAGACGAGAAAAAATTAGCCACTGCAAAAACCCAAGGTCCAAATAGTATTTCAATTCTACAGAGACTTCGTGTAATACAAGAGGATTCTTCTAAGAACGAAGTACATTTAAATAAAGATGAAAATTCTCCCGCTGCTGTCATTGATAATAAGGAAAAACTAGAAAACTCAGTTGCTGCTTCTAATGAAACTACGTCTATCCCAACTGTGCCAACTATGATCAAACCCCAAGTTCCTCCAATATCTAAAAATCAAGTATGTTTATGTTGCGTTCACTTATTCTGTATTAGTAATCGATTGGCTGTTCAAATCCTATAAAAAGTTCAAGTGAAGTGATTGACTTAGTTTCCTGTTAGATAACCGTATTTTCTAAATTGCATGTACAGAGATAGACGTTATATTAGTGTTGCAACGTTAAAAAGAAATAAGTAATATTCTGCATATACTTAAAGCAGCACGTTAATTTCCATCCATTGTAAACCATATACAAAAGCAGAACTTCATGTTCGGCTTTGAACCATATTTTTATTTGTAAGAGATTGTAGCATTATTCACCCGCTCAGACCAAAGTAGATGGCACGGAGTTCGAGCCTGAGAATCAACGGTTTAAACTGGTATTTCGCATATTAAAGTACCGCACTGTAACAAACAGATGCCATATTTTTTGCAGCTACTGGGTTTTAATTTGTAAGATTGGGCAGAACTATCCATTTTTGGTTTGAAGTCTCACATAGTTCAAAACTGATAATATAGCTTTGATATTTATTTATTTGGAAACTTGATACAGATATCAGATAAGTAAGTTATCAAAATGCTCATCAACTTTGACCCATTACAGATAGACTGCATAGTGATCCACAATAATGGTTGATGGCAACAATTATAATCTTTATTTTCGATAGGATAGTTATACTTTTCATATAACTAAAATCTTTAATTCATTCTCCGAAAATTATACTGTGCGTATGAACTTTCTGTCTTTTACTGAGAACTATTTATCGTTCATTAAAATTTCCAATAATCCAAGACTCAATATTGTTTATTTAGGGATTCTCAAAGTGATGCAAAGTTTTATATCGATAGAAAGATTTCTAGTAAATTGCACCATACGACTTTTTCCTAGGGCAATAAAGTTGAAAATCGACCGAGTTTGTCAAACTTCCCAATATGGCAATTTTAATAAAGATGTGTAGACAAGCGTGCTTTGTTGTAAAGCACACGCTTCCTTGTCTTATAGGATGCGTTACGTTCTCCAAGGAATTCTGTGAGATGTGATAATGAAACATAATTTCTATTTATTTAATAATGTTATATGTAGATTGTTTTCAGGCGAATGGATGAAGGGTTCGCAATATTATTAACCGAAAAATTACTACAGTGCAATTTTTATCTTGAATCACACTTCAGATTGACTCGGTGTCATACAATATCGAGTATATTAAGAAAATAAATTACTGCTGGTCATATAGTGAGGTTCAGTTTCGTACAATGTTGCCACATAATAGTTCAACTTTTGTATATAAATAAGATTCATATTACTTTTGTGATTTCAGTGGACATATTGCATTAACTCTTTCCTGTATATTAGCCTAGTAAATGACAATTAATTTCCTAACTTTAACCCAATTGTGAATCATGAAACAAGTTTTTTCTTATTTTCAGGTCAAAAAACCAGCTGCAATCAGAGGAAGGTCTCATTCATCCAGTTCTAGTTCTGCTTCTTCATCTTCCTCATCTGGATCCTCTTCAAGAAGTTCCAGCAGACCTAAGCGTTCTCGTAAAAGATGTCGGTCCATAAGCTCATCAGCACGCAAAATACAAAGGAGTGACTTTTCGGACTCCAGAAGCAGGGGTAGGGGTAGTCGTGGACGCTACTCTCCAGTTAGTCGTTCATACTATACAAGATCACGTTCTCGTTCATTTTCAACAAGAGCTTCGACAAATTGGGGCACACGTACCAGCTATCCAAGTCGTAATCGTTCTTGGTCTAGGTCTCGTTCCAGATCGTTTTCCAGAGACTCTCGATCTCATAGCTCGAGTGCTCGTCGTCATAAACGTCGTCACAGGAGAACACGTCGTGGGAGGAACTCTAGTCGTAGTTGGTCATCGTCAAGAAGTTCTAGTAGATCTATAAGACGGCGCTAACTGTAATATTCTCATATGAAAACGCCTTGTTCAGTCCTTTGTTTTAAATGTATTTATTCATGATATAAATATGTGTTTTTAGTTCATTGTTACAACCCGTTTCGTATTAAGAAAATACCACTTTAGTTGAATAATTTTAAGTAAAAAGTCGATTCTATCATCAGATGAGCTTAAATTATAAATATAAAATATTGGAATGATAATAATGATAAGTTGGTTCACAACTCATAAAGTTAACTGTTGAATAAATAAGCCAGAAGCTAGTCATCAGATTAACCAATTTCTGCGTTTAGATTGTGAAATTATTCTGCTTCAGTTTTTAGACGAGGTGGTAACGGAGGTGGTATTTGTCTTGAGGGCGTTTGTGGGGCGACACGTGTCGGAGAGATGGGTTCAAACTGAAAGTGCAAACAGTTTACGTTAACAAAAACTGAGCGAGAGTAACAGAATTAAATTTAAACAGACAAAAGAACAATATTCCTAACTTAGTGAAATCCAACACTGAGAATCAAAGTATACAGTCCAGATACGATGGTTCAGTACTCAAATTCGGCAACTAGATTTCAACTTCGATAGATCTGGGGAGCTGAATATTATCACTAGCCCTCATATTAGCTTAAAGGGTCACGATGTCCGAAATGAACATCAAGGATATGACGTTAGATTTAACGATGGTCAGAACATTTTCCAGGAAATGGTACAAAATTGTGTTTAGTTTTCTGTTATTTTCGTGCTGTTGAGTTTCTATAAACTCCAGGTAAATCACCCTCATTTGCATTTTAACAAACGTTGATCATTTCACAGTCGATATTAATTTTCTTTCATCACGTATTGTTTTATAAGATTATGGTGAAATAGGGCATATATATAAAGTGTACTCACAATTCTTATGAACAGCTTCGTATAAGTGAAAATTTTGAGTCTTTCGCTTTACCTTAGATTTAAAATATCAAACAAGGAATGTAAGGAAATCGTTCATTGATAATTAGATGGTATGAAGTTAAAGAACATCAATTGCATTCTCAGTTTATGCGTCAAAGTTTATACATAGTAATCACATAAACATGAGTATGGCTATTGAAATAGTTCTTTACAGTGCTGTAGCAAATCGGTTCGCGTATCAGACCTGTGTACGTTCGAAAGGCACTTGTTCACTGTGAGGACTAAGATCTGACTGGAACTTAGCAATTAAAAGTACTTTACCACGGTTCCACTACTTGGCAAATAGTATTCTGTTTATTTTATTTCAAAAAAGGATTTTCGACTATTATATAGATGATAAATGCGTTGGTTAATCATTTAGACCTATCATCTTCACGCCCCTGACAGAACAATGTCTACTTATTTTTCCCATATTCCCTAGTTTCAGAGTTTATGAATATATTTCACTTACATTTATAAGTGCGGCATCCTTGTCATGGTTCATGGTTGTAGATGAACCGCTTTGTGAAGAATATACAAGAGTAAAAGGATCATCAATTGATCTGTTTGAAAAATTTAGAACAGGAAATTCGAATAAGATTAGTGAAAAGTAAAAATAGGAATCTTACATGCAGTGATTTGAATTTGAAGACCATTTTATTTTAAAGTACAGTCGGGCACCAAAAAATCGACACTTCAGTGAAGTGATGAAGAAATGAATACTGCTAGAATCAATGCACAAATGATCGAAAATGGTACTTAGTATGTGACACTTCAGTTAGAAGTACAACGAGGGAAGATTTGCAGGAAGGGTTTATCTTTATGCAAAGTGTAGTAGGAAATTATAGCTGGATGTTTATTAAATTCTATACTGTCGCATTTGATAACGTCTCTAACCAGTAGGTCTCACCATCACCTAGAACTAAAATCGGAAAGTTCTAGTCGGTCGACAGATTCCAATCTTGAAGTCACATGTCACAAAATGACTACCATTATGTTTTCGCTACTCGATCCCAGAATCAGCAGACAATGTGTGATTTGGGACTCGTTACGATAACACGAATACAATAATGAATAGTTATAAATTATTTTGAAGAATGTAATCTTGATTATCGTTGTGAACATTGTACAGTTAAATACTATGGTACATATTTACGTTTAGGTTTTTTTTCCTTTCAAACGATGCGGAGTAAGCCATTCATTCAAGAGCGTTCATCTACTGAATTACTTTAAAACTAGATAGTGAAACAGTGGTCACTTCAAACAAGTGTGTAATAAACGATCACAGACCAAAAAGATACCAGTTATAAAAACAGTGAACACTAGATCTTGATATGTTTCAGATCAAGTCAATGCGCAATTCAAATCAACACAGTAAAAAAAAGGTAAAATATGGAGGTAAATTAAGACCTTTGACAATATAAACTAGGGTAAATGTCAGTCCAATCGCAATAAACATGATTCAAGTCCTTCAGCAGTTAGAGTTTATCTACCAAATTTTAAAAAAATGAGAATAAGTTTATTTTCCTAAAAACAAGATACTCCACACACACGTTGAATACTTAGCCTGTGGGTACTTATCCACTTTTTATTAAATCTAATATAAGAACTTTCGGGGCTGTGACTAGTGCTATGTCAAGGAAACAGGATTAAGTTTATTCCCCCTTTGTGTTGTAATGTATTTCAAGAAAAAAAAACTTGTATCTTGAAATTGTGTTCGGTACGAGCATACGGAATTGTTAATGACAGGACAATTGGGATCCGTCTAATACGAAGGCAAACGAACGCGAACTCGAAAAGACTGCATGTCTGTCACACGACAACACTTTGACGTTAGTTTAACATAAAGAAGACGGAGTTTTCAGTACAGCTTTATATTCCGGACGGAAGTCAGGAACTGAAATAGGACAAATATGTTTAAAGAGAAATATGTAATGACCTTGGGACATGTCACACAGTTGGCAGTTATCCACAGAAGACAATGGAAGATGGTCACGCAATGCCGTGGATTGGTTGAGGTTACATATTAACACCGTTGGATGCCGGCTCAATGGTCCGGATGTTAGGCGTTCTCACCCGAGGCCAAAGGATCTGGGTTCGAATCTCGCGAGCGGGATCGCGGATGCACACTGTTAAGGAGTCCCATGCTAGGATGAAACGGTCGTCTAGTACTTCCAGGTTTCCAACGGTGGTCTAACATTGATCGTTTCATGGTCTCAATTAAAACACCAATCTCCACAACCCTATATTCATAAAAGTAAAAGCCAACTAGACGATAGTCAGGGTCATTGCGGAAATCCGAATTGGAAAAATGTCGCCATGTAATGAGAAAAACTAAAAGGCCTGAGCTCTTATCCTAGAAAAAGCGCTATTGCATAGGTCTATTTAGCGACACTATTATAATCATAATGTATTTTATGAGAGTCGAGCAATAAGGAAATGTTTCATTTTAACCGATAAATTAAATCTTTTTTCAAGACTAAAAATCTTAAAAATTTGTAATGAGAACAAAATGGAAGGGAGTCTCCCCTTTTATATAAGTCAACTTGAAATTATGAAGAAATCTGTCAACAAATTTAGACGAAACTCATCAATTAAGTGAAACTGCATAAGCTAAACAACAAGTAATTTAATTTTCGAAACGGCAATCGAACACAAAAACATTAGTTACCGCTATTTAGTTAATCAAGAATTTAAGAGACTGTGCAAAGATTGATAAGATTCGGTTTCCTATATCCCATAGAACAGTAATTGTTAGTTTTTGTTTGTTTACACCGTCCTCTAAGTAATAATCATCAATTTTAGTATCTGGTTCAATTTAGTTTAATTATTACAAAAATGTACTGTAACAAAGTCGGAAATAAGGAAAACAACTACTGACTCCATTCAACCTATGTGTATACTAATCAACATATTCTCTTGATATGCATAAACATTTTATTTTCAAACACAAATTGTACTGAAATTCCGGACTGTGGAAAGAAAAACGCATAGAAACGCCGTAAATGATGTTACATACGAGTGACCTTCAAAGCACTTGTCTCAGAGAAATATAAGTCCATTCTTAAAGAAAAAAACAGGAACTCACAGAAAGTTAACATCCTAGACTTTCTAGCAAGACTATGAATAAAAACATTTCTCGTCTCATGGTGAAATGTGTATCAGCTGAAACTAAACCTTAAATTCATCCATTTGAGTAATACAACTACTTGAACCCCTATTCTATACTCACAGAACTAGTCTTTATTTCGATTGTAAGATATACTCAAACGATATCTTATCCTTATGTAATTATTAATTGGCTAAAGTTACCAATGAATACCTATATAGACAGGATTCACCAATAATCTAGTACAATTATTTCCATAAAGGATCATCATCATCAATGATAATAATCTAGTATAGTTATTTTTTCTGTGAAAGATCATCACTGTAAACGATAATAATAAAGGAAAATATCAAATGAATAAATAAACACTTCATTATTAATGGTAATTAACGCTTTAAATCAATAATCATTGGATATGTATTCAGTATTGATGACTAGAAATATTTTTAATGATTTTCAAATTGCTCACATAAAGTAAACACAGTGTGTCTAAGATTACACTTAATTACATATAAATATATATTCTGATTTCAAGTCTGAAATTGATGCAAAGTATAATGTTTGTTTAGGAATTCCTAATTTATTGAGTGTAATTATATTTTTTAGAAATCAGTAAGATAATTCCAGTGACAAAATACTTAGAAGGTAAGTTTTAAAACATTTAAGCCTTAAATCTTTAATGTACTCCTCCTAATTAAGAACAATTAGTTTTAAGTATATTTCAGTTAACATCAGACAATCGAAGATAAAAACGTACAACTGAAATCAATGTAAACGATCAACCATTTAATTATTGATAAGAACTATTATTGCATCAAACTCATTAACTATTGTAAATAAAAATAATAATATATTTGTAATATCCCAATGAATAGAAAATTAGATTTTCTGACGTTTCGTGACTTAGTGTAAGCCACTTCTTCAGAGAATAAATAACCAAATTAAAATTAGTCCAAGTTTAAATAGTACAACGGAACAATGCAAGAATAATATTGGATCGAATGGATCATGAAGACGTCAAAATCTGAAGGGAAGC